TGAAAGAGCACTTTGTCAATTCATGTGAAAATATATTTTGTTGTTGTTTAAAAATGCTACATTCAGCATGAGTGGGATGCTGCAGAACTCGTAACTCAGCAGGTCTCCAAGAAGCCAAATTTGAGTTTGTAAAATCAGTAACACATCAGAAAAGACCAGAAGGAAATGTGCCCCTTGGCTTTTTTTTAATAATAGCTCTTTGAATTCAGGATGACCCTTACTATTCAAGCTGGCATAGTCTTGTTGGTGTCTCACATAGTCACTGTGCAAACCAACAATGTGGTCACTGTCCTGTCAGGTTTCAGTCAGAGCTGGCTTGGAGCTGTAGTTGTTTCAGGCTGTCTTTTGATGCATGAGCATGCTTGATGCCATTAATAATTTGCCCTTGAGTCACACAATGACACTGAGTATTAGTACCCTTATTATCCTTTTCCTTAGTGGATTTAGCAGTGGTATATGCTTTGTTCTCCAGAGCATTCTTCTGAACCAGTCATTAGTTTTCCTTGCCACGTGCCCAGGGGCTGCATGTGTGCGTATTTGCTTCTTTTTCTGGTTCTAACCAACTAGTTATCCTCGGGTATGATTCTGTGCAATCTGATTCTGTGCTCATGGCACCTCTCCCTGTAGACAGTACATAGAAGAGAATATCAGGATTGTCCTCTTCTGCCCTAGAGGTCTCTAACACAGTCCTGTTGCCTAATTCACCAAATCTGTGTCCTTACCTATTCTTATATGTCCCTTAGCCTTGTCCCAGGGCATGTAATACTCATCTTGGCATCACAGATAAAAGCTTTATGCCAGCTGGCCCCTCCAGTTATTTCAGACTTACTCCACTGCAACAAGAGCAAAATGCAGTAATTGCATTCATGGTGGATAAGAGCCATTTTGGGCCCTTTGTCCTGGCATTGTAGTATTCTCTGTATTGGATGCCCTTAGCAAGGTAAAACTAGCCTTGAGGTATCTCTAGTAGGCACCTTAATTCTATAAATCCTATCACTGACCCTTACTCAATGTAAATCTGTTGTCAACAGCATTTTGCTCCAGGCTGCTGTGCTTGGATGTGATTAGGAAATACAGAAATTGGGATGCATCAATTGCATTGATATTTTGTGCAAATGTAGGTGAATACATTAACAAGCTTGATTAGATTAGTTAGATCAGGATCTCCCATTCATTTACTTTTGTCTGAGAAAACCAGAAGCAGAGACCAGTTTCTTGTAAAACCAGAAGGGAATCACTCTAGCTTGTATTTATAATAGCTAGACTGAAATAGCACACTGCACACACTCATCAGGCTGTTGCAGCTGGGGTGCTACAACGAGGCTGTGGATTGATTGCAGAATGCTCACAGGCTGTGTATATTTTGTAGCTGCAGATGGCTGCTTTATGTTCCTCTTGCATCAGTACTAAATCTGCAAAAATGTCCATCACAATTGCTCTGCAGTAGTTTCTCTCTAGCTTGTACCTGTTAAACTGTGTATTTAGATGCAGTATATGCACACCAATCTGCATTTCTGCACACAGAAAGCCTTACACTACTGACACAGCAGACAGAAGCATACAGACTATTTTGGAGTAAATTTTGCCCCTAAATGGTGTTGAGTATAGAGACAGTTTGTCTTCGGTCTGCACGATGAACGTAGTGTAATTTACACAGTGCAGGCAAATAGCTGTAATATATTATAAAATGTTGTTGTACATATCAAACATAAAAATCAGGAGCATTCTCCAATAGATAGTCAGAAAAGAGCAGAAAATTTTCTCAAGAGATCATAGCATAGATATTGAACTTAAATATTTTATGAACTTACACTGTTCATATAAAGACAGCGTTCCAAAGATCTATGCAGAACTGCTAGATTAAAAGTAATACAAGATGAAAATGAAAGTTTAAAAAACCGTTTGTTATCAAGAGCAGCAGGAACACTGGTAGTTGTTTGGATTCTGTGTTGCCTTGTGCAGTCTAGACAGGACTGGAAGTTACACCCCAGCATGACTTCATGTTACCTAGGTACCTCTAGAAATAACAGCAGTTCCCAACTCAGCTGCAGGCTCACCACTTCCCTCCCTGGCAGATCAGGGTGTTGCTGAGCAGTTTATGGGAGAACATAAGTGGTTCTCATTAGGTTTTGTGCTGTACGTGGAGAGAAAAAACACTATGTGCATAACTGACCAAGGTGAAAACTTCCAAAACCTGCGCAATGTCTGCTTCAGTTCTTAGTCATGGGCAAAAGCAATTCCCTTTATGCCATAAAACTTGATGTATTTTACCATTCTGTCTTGGGTTACTTTTACATTATATTTCTGATTGTAATGAAGAATATTAAGACTGGGGTTATAAAATGAAATATGCAGGAGGACTCCGTAGTTTTTGCGGGAAATGTGGATATTAGTAGCGGTTATAAGAAGAGGCAAAAGATTTTTCTTTAATGTTCAACTTGAAAAAGAATGTTGACCAAAAAAAAAAGTGGAATTCATCACAGTAAAATAGAGAGTGGTGGCTGGAAAAGTATTTGGAAAAAGACAATCTGGTATTTGCAGTAGAGTGAGACAAGGTCATAGACTTGCTTATGGCCAGGCATAAGGATACTTACTTCACAGTTTGTGCATTTAAAATCAAGGAACTACATCCAAGTCGCAACATAGATGTTATCCTTGGCAATACAAAATAACTTTAAAAGAAGTCCAAACACTTGCATTTTCAATCTCTCTACAGTGACTCAAAGCTAAAATATTAATTTCTGTCATTTCTGTCATTTAGTCAATGGATAGTGATTATTTCTATGATATATTCTTCATTATGCTTTTCCAACAGCCTGGCTCTAATTCCTAAGTTTCAGCATACGCTATGTTGCCCAGGTGGTCCAGAGCAACCATCTCTTTCCCAGTTTGTGCCAAGGTCATTATGATCTTTAGTGTCTCATGGCTCCCGTTTCCTGAGCTGTGATTACTCACAGGCAACCCTATTCAGGTGTCCACATTTCAGGCTCTACCATATGATGTTCAGTCATGTTGCCTGATCTGGATGATCCAGAAAAGAAGACGGGGTAAACCACATGATCTCACCTGCTTTTTGGGAGCAGAGGCACTTAACAGACATGTCCCAGCAAGAGAGCGAGGCACAAAACAATGTGGGTGGCAAATCCATAGCTGCTGAAAATGCAAGAGTCCTGCTTTGGTGCAGGGCTCTGCATGTGGGTTATACTAGCTAGTCTGTCCTTGGATTTATTTTTGATGCTCAGCTTTTCAGCATTGATAGGCTGGACACACCATCTGTTTTTAAAGATAAAGCTCAGGTCCAATATGTAACTTTTGGTTTTCTATATACAAGTCACTGAAGTTCCAGCAAATACCTTCAACAGCCACCTGCACTAAGAGTGGAGCCTGGTCTGCCTTGTGTACCTTGTCTAGCCTAGTCTACCTCATGTTCAGCAGCATGGAATAATGTGGTTTCAGCTGGGCAAGGACCAGGCATCTGGATGCATTGCAGTTGCCCACAGAAAAACATCCAAGCTTTTGGCTGCAGAAGAGTGCAGAGGATCTGTGGAAGTAACTGATTTCTTACTCTCAGAAGCATTTATTTCACTAATACTAGATGGCCACAGAAAAAGAGCCCTCAGTCCATCCAGAAGGCTTAAGAGGAAAGTCACAGCCCCTTTGGCTGTGTTGCTGTCTCTTCTCAGCCCAGTCTATGAATTACTTCTTTTTTGCATTGCCCATGTTCGCTGTATCTCTGCTCACTCCAGAGATGCTGTGATTTCTCCCTGCCTTCCACCAGCTCTGCAGATGGGACGAGCAAAGGCCAGCTCTTCTCCACAGCTCATTTAACCACCCTTAGCAATGAGTAGCTGTGTGGAAGCTACCAAAGCTGCACATTTTATGTGAAGAAAGGTAAGATTTGTCAGCTTCAAACATCAATGATGTCCATAAGAAACAGAAAAGTTAATTTTTTTTCAGAGTAATCCAATCTCCAAAGCAGGTGGAAGTGGAAGAAGCTTCACTTTTTCAGATGCTCCCTTGAGAAGACTGTGAAAAGGAAGCAACAACTTCATAGACAGTAAATGAAGGAGCACTGAAATGAAGGGGCAAATGCAGGAGAATGTTTTTTGCATGCACTTACGTGAAGCATCAAATCTACTACTTCCTGAGAGAAAGTAATGTTGCCCATTGAATGACGGGCTGAACTAATTGAAAACGCTGAGTTTGAAGTGAACACGCACTGTTGCACCTTCAGCTCAGAACTTTACTCCTGTAAAGGACTGGAAACTCTCTTTGCTCAAGCGTAACAAGAAACCTTTCAGGTCAAACTCAGATTGCATTTTAAAGATTGTGTGATGGAAGCTTTTCCAAATGGATCACAAGATTTACATTACTTCGTAGTGTTCGGTAGCAAACCTGGACTCCGTGAAGTCTATCATCATCCATATGGATTCTCCAAAGAGTTAATTCTACTTGGGAAGTGCTAAGATCAGAAGTTATGTAAAGCTCATTGTTTACTTTGAAGAATTTATGTGGTGAAAAGTAAGATTTTGCTGAGTAAAAAAGCATTAATTTATTTTTTTATATGAAATATTTTACTATTTAACATTTTTCTGTCTAATGCTTGAAAGTTTTTTTTCCCTCTCTTTTTATTTCTGTGAGAGTTCTAACTTCTTTTGTAGGCACCCAACATGGTGGCTAGAGACACCTTACAAGTATGTGGTTAGCAGATACTATTGCAATCTTCCTGCCTACACTCCAACTGTATAAAGGTCATTAATAAAATACCTAATTTTTAACAGTTTTCCCTAACAAGTATCTTCTAGTTGCAGCCCTTTGAAAGAGAAGCCACCACCAGTTTGCAACAGAAGAAGAGAGATTCCTTCTTTGATCAGAAGAGTCTTTTTGCATTATTAAATAGTAAAGCTCAAGTCAGATCACTGTGGTTGGGGGGAAGCGGCAAGGAAAGGCTTTGCTCTAAGTTGTCATTTTAACTATTGCTTCTTTTTTTGTGCTTTCAGAGGCTGGCAGCAAGAAGCTAAAGAGCACGATACAAAGAAGCACAGAGACAGGAATGGCAGCTGAGATGAGGAGTCGCATGGTTCGACAGCCAAGTCGGGAATCCACAGATGGCAGCATGAATAGTTACAGCTCCGAGGGCAAGTAAGTGGCATTAAAAGCATCAATCATGTATGTGTTTCTTGTTGTTGTAAGAAAACTTTGGATGTGAACGAAGGTCCCAGCTCTGGCTGAAGGGGATAGCTCTGTGTTCAGACTATTTTAGGGAACTTAACACAAATTTCTTGAAAACTGAAATTGGGAGAGGGTTTCACATTTTCTCTGTCATCCAGTGAGGCATTTTATTAACCAAAAGACAGATAAATTCAGAGCACATTAATCAAAACAAAACATAGGAGTGCTTTCTCTTTGAGTTACATGTGGATTGACTCAGAGTTAAACTTCAGATGTTGTATGTGAATCCCTGTGATGTGAAACCCTGTTCGGTAATACTGTATACAAAGAAAGTTTAGTTTGGAGTTGATCCAATTCTCTTACTGAGAATTATAAACCCAGAGTCCAGCTGCCCCATCAGCTGAAATCAGGCAGACAACTGTGGGGAATGGGGCAGCTGTTTTCATTCACTGCTGAGTGACTCAGGATGTAGGAAAGGAGAACAAAGGCAGGTCTGACAAGACAGTGTGCATGAGTACTCCAGCTTCCTCACAGCTCTCACTGGGACTCTGATGTGTGTGCCAAGGCACAGTGCTCATTAGGGAATTCTTAGAAGATGCGTCCCTGCAAAAGGGGAAACCAGGGGCATGGAAATCCACCCTGTAGACCTGAAAAAAAAATGAGAGTTAGTGACTTCTTTGACTTCATCCTTTTATATGGTTATCATGTTACTGCAAGTGTTACTGCACACTATATAAGGCACAAAGAGCTAGGGTCAGCCATGGTGCTGGCAAGGAGCTGTGTAGAAGTGCAGTTTTTCCATCATCAGATGATCTCACCGCGTTCAGTTTTTTACAATGAGGCTGGTGAGACACTGGAAAAGGTTTCCCAGAGAAGTTGTGGGTCCCCCACCATTGGAAGTGTTCAGGGTCAGGTTGGAGAGGACTTTGAGCAACCTGGTCTAGTGAAAGATGTGCCTGCCCATGCAGGGGGTTTGGAACTAGATGATCTTTAAGGTCCGTTCAGTGACATGAGAATTGGCCTCTGAGAAAGGCAATGAAGAGAGCAAGGTATATGGAGTTCTTGCTTCTTATTGGGACATAATGCAGGCTGGGTGTGCATAGTGGGACTTAGTTTGAAAATTAGCCTTTAGAAATAGGTCCAATTTCAAGGTGAGGTGAGCTATCAGAAACCCATTGTGACACTATCTGCATATTATGTCTTGTTTCTGCTGCCTTAGCTCTAGTGCCCAGCTTCTCATCAATTCTGCTTCTGACAGGTCTCCTCACCTCTGTCAACACTCATACAATAGATTTTTTCACATCTGACCACATTTTCTTTGCCTTTCTGCTTTTTTGTCTTAGCTCCCTAACTTTTCACTATGTTTTTGCTCCAGACTTTTGGTTTGAAAGAATTACCAGACCGGTCAGCCTCACCTCCATCCCTGTAAAGGTGATGGAACAACTTGTTCTTGGCACTATCTCTAGGCATATGAAGGTTGAGGGGGTCATTAAGAGCAATTGACATGGTTTTACCAAGGGGAAGACATGTTTGACCACCCTTATAGCCTTCTATGAGGAAGTAACTAGGTGGATAGATGATGGTAAGGCAGTAGATGTGGTTTATCTTTATTTCAGTAAGGCATTTGACACTATCTCCCACAGCATCCTTGTAGATAAACTGAGCAAGTGTGCTCTTAATAATCAGGTGGTGAGGTGGATTATGAACTGGTTGAAAGGAAGAAGTCAGAGAGTTGTGGTCAATAGGACAGAATCTAGTTGGAGGTCTGAGACTAGTGGAGTCCCTCAGGGGTTGGTACTGGAACTGGTGCTGTTCAATGTTTCCATCAACGCCCTGGATGAGGGAACAGAGTGTGCCCTCAGCAAGTTTGCTGATGACACTAAACTGAGAGGAGTGGCTGACACACCAGAAGGCTGTGCTGCCATTCAGAGAGACCCGGACAGGCTGGAGAGTTTGGCAGGGAGAAACTTGATGAAATTTAACAAGGGCAAGTGTAGACTCTTGCATCTGGGGAAGAACAACCCCATGTCCCAGTACAGACTGGGGGCTGACCTGCTGGAGAGCAGTGTAGGAGAAAGGGACCTGGGGGTCCTGGTGGACAGGAGGATGACCATGAGCCAGCAATGTGCCCTTGTGGCCAAGAAGGCCAATGGCATCCTGGGGTGCATTAGAAAGGGTGTGGTTAGTAGGTCAAGGGAAGTTCTCCTCCCCCTCTATTCTGCCTTGGTGAGGCCACATCTGGAGTATTGTGTCCAGTTCTGGGCCCCTCAGTTCAAGAAGGACAGGGAACTGCTTGAAAGAGTCCAGCACAGAGCCACAAAGATGATGAAGAGAGTAGAACATCTCCCTTATGAGGAAAGGCTGAGGGAGCTGGGTCTCTTTAGCTTGGAGAAAAGGAGACTGAGGGGTGACCTCATCAATGTTTACAAATATGTTAGGGGTGAGTGTCAGGAGGATGGAGCCAGGATTTTTTCAGTCTGGTGACAGGACAAAGGGCAATGGATGCAAACTGGAGCATAGGAGGTTCCATGTGAATATCAGGAGGAACTTCTTTACTGTGAGAGTGACAGAGCACAGGAACAGGCTGTCCAGAGAGGTTGTGGAGTCTCCTTTGCTGAAGACATTCAAAACCCGCCTGGACATGTTCCTGTGTGATGTGCTCTAGGGGATCCTGCTCTGGCAGGGGGGTTGGACTAGATGATCTTTCGAGGTCCCTTCCAACCCCTAGGATTCTGTGATTCTGGTTGATTCCTGATCCTCAGTATATCTCAGCTTCATCTCCTGACTCCAAACCCACTTCACACTTACCCTTAGCCTTAAACATGGGCCCTAATCTCCAATCGCTGGCAAGAGTAAAGAAACAGAAACCAGTGAAGTGAGAACAACACCAATATCTAACAGTGACTCGGAAAGGAAGCTCAGGAGAATGGACCAAAGAGGCAGATAGATAAGGAAACTCAGGTGGAACAGTTAAATATATTCTGCTGCAATGAAGGAAGAGAAACATTCCTCAAACAGGACACACTGTCATCGGTGAAAGAGATACTAGAGGGCTCTGTTCAGTGTGATGCTGTCATTTGTGGCTTGAAAAACTTCTCTGAAGTCTTCTATTTTTTTTATGATTCAGCTATTGATAAAATTGTCAGATGTTCTAAAAACTTGCTTGAATTTGATAGAATAGTGTTAGTTAGCAGCAGCTCTGAGTTTCATAATGAATGAAAGATGGTAAATGCAGAGGTTCTTGTAAGAAAGATGACCAATAAAACAGTTTTCTACTGTTCAGTCACTTCCCCCACATGCATCACTGGCTTATTTGTAGAACATAAGTTGGACACAGCTGCAGGGTGGAGGGAAAGCCACACACCTCTATCCCATGACCAGGGGTGCATGCAACATGTCAGCTGATCCTTCTGGGCCTTTTTTTTAACATTAGAAATGTCACCTTTAACTTCAGATGTATTTATAGTGTGAGCCTGAATCAGTTTTTGATAGCACCTTGGATTTAGTAGCAAAACTGTTTGCTAAGCTTTTCCTGTCTATTTTGAGATTCCCATAAAAATCAGTGAGAGATTGACTTTGGTTCCTTGAGTAGTGTTTTGTTTGCAGTTCACTTTTGACATTATCATAGGTGGGTGGTGATGACAATTAGGAAATTCATGTTAAGTTTGCATAGGCTACTTTTCCTTCCTTCTGTGTGCGTATATTATGATACTGAACTTCCAAGATCTCATAGTTTGTTGATAGTACTGTGCATTTTGTGCACCAATCAGAAGTGTAGCTCAGCTGAGAAGGCAGATTCCTACAGCAGGTACCCCAGGAACCACATTGTGTTCTGCTTGACTTGTAACTCAGTTCTAATTAGAATTCATACACAATAAGGTGAATGTGTACTTCACAACCTTCATTACTATGTGTAGAGCTAGGGGTGTCTGAAAAGAGAGAATGCTCTCAGATTTTCTCTCCAGCTTTTTCAAAGTTTTAAGTTGGTCCATAGCATAATGAAACCCTTTTTAGGGAAAAAAAAGCCAATGAAACAAGCAAGAAACTTTTCATAGCAGGGGCAAAACACTACTTTACAGCTAGTGCCACTGGGGAGGGATGCAGATTGTGAATCTTGTCAGGAAGGGTGGGCTTGAAGCTGCATCTGAAGTGAATGCTGTAACTGGTGGGCTGATGATTGAACTGGAGACCTTGAGGTTCCTTTCTTTCTCCATCTGAATAAACCTTCTTAAAAAAAAAAAAAAAAGTTTTCTTAAAACTCAACTTCTGTGAAAAACTTGCTTTTTGGTAAATCAGACTTTTCTGATAAAAAGTACTGTGCTGATATTTTCAGGATAGCTTTAGTTACAGCAGCCTGTACATTAATGCAGACATAGTATGAGCAATTACACTTGAAGAGAGGAATAGACTTTTTCTATCCAGCTAACTGGGGTTTACAAAGAGTTTTCAGTGTGAATGGAATGACCAGAGTACATAAGCCTGAACTGTGGAAATCAAAGCCTTTCACACTAGAGGTTTTTATTAGGAAATGTTGTTATTATTTTCTCCAGAGTAGTAGGGAGCTTCCTTTGAGGGAGAAGCAGGTACAGCATGATGGGTGGCCTGCTGGGTAGGATTCATTCAACGTCTGCTATTCTGTTCCTCATATTTGTGATGAGGAAGTCAAAGCTGAGTTTTCCCACCATGGATCATTCTCTCTTTTTTTTTTTTTCTTTTTGTGGGTTTGGTTTGGTTTTATTGTGGCAAATTTTGTTTGCTTGCTTTTGTTTGAGGTTGGTTTTGTTTTGTTTTTCTTTTGTTACTGTTTGGAGTCTATATATCTATTGGAAATTAAGTGGAGATTCTGGAATACAAGAAAGAAGCTTGGAAAAGCACACATCACAGAATCATAGAATGGTTTGGGTTGGAAGGACCTTTAAAGGTCACTTAGTCCAATGCCCCTGTAGTGAGCAGGAACAACTTCAACTAGATCAGGTTGGTCAGAGCCCCATCCAACCTGACCTTGAATGTTTCCATATATTCTGTGCCAACATATTACAGTTCAATTTGTGTCCTGAAAGAGGGGGTGGGTACCAACTGTAGATCCAGGCTACCAGAATATTTTGGCTAGGTATCTAATCAGCACTAGTACAACCTGCCAGTTTACTGCTTCATTAAACAGCTGTAGCAATCAGATTACTTTAGTGTATACACCTGTTTTCCCTCTTGGTTCTAACGGATGTGGATGGGGTTTGGATGTATGTCTAGATATAAAACAGTATTACAAGGTAAATCAAGCATTCAGGAATGGAGAATGATAGGCTGTTAAATTTCATGAGGCTTTTTATGTTTTCTCATGCAAGGTCACTCATATTTTATTCACCTGTCAGGCTTTTCACTGTTCCTGGAGAATTCCTTAGCAGGAACAGTTTTATGGACTACTTTGAGTCCATCTGCAGAATTTTACTGCACTTCTTTGGGGCCTGTGGGAGACAGCTCATTCCTGATGCTGCAGAACAATTTGTGGTGGCACGTCCTGAGTTGCTTCCCTTGTGTCAGTAGCACTTTTGAGGTAAATGCTGCAGGACAAGAGAAATTAATCCTAGTTTTATGCTTAACTGGCTTTTATTTTGCTGCAGCTTAATCTTCCCCGGAGTCCGGCTGGGCGCTGACAGCCAGTTCAGTGATTTCCTTGATGGACTTGGGCCGGCACAGTTAGTGGGCCGACAAACGCTAGCAACCCCTGCCATGGGTAAGGATAAGTGTTCTCCTCTGTTAAATTAATAATAAGCCAATTAACATACACACTGCCAGGCTATATCACCAAGAAGAGTTTTACAAACTGGCTTCCTTCACTGTAAGCATGAAGGTCCTCTGTGCAGTCACTGGTATTCCTCACAGGCCAGCATTCAGAATGAGGTGAGAAACAGTGTTTTTTCCATATGTGAGGTGCCTGCTTGTCTAATTTACATTCTGAAGACAGGAGTTACACTTCCCAATGAAAACTGTTGTGGCTTCTCCAATTGTAGCTCACTGAAAAATCTCAGCTGTTCAGAGTTGATATTTACTTGATGTGACAGTCAACTTCTGGTAACCTCTGCACTTGTTCAAGCTTAGTTCATCTGACTCCAGCATGTGAAACTTCTGCCCACATTTGTAATGCCCAGTAATCAGTTGCTGATAAAGCCAGTGTTTGTCACGAAAGAGAAAAAATCCTTTTCTACTGCAGCTGCCTTAGGCTTTCTGTGATGGTCTCTGTGTTCCAGCCCAGTTTGCATTTCCCTATAATAGCATTATTTCTCTCCTAGTTTTGACTAGGAGTTTGAGTGTGTAAGGTGTGCAGCAATGCAGTACTGCGTAAGTATCTTTGGAAAGATTTGGTTTGTGGGTTTTTTGCTTATATATGAGAAATTTTTGGACATGCAAAGTGAGAAGTTCTTGATCCACTACTTTAGTCATACTTCTGCTGAAATTATAAATGGCTAATGCTTCAGTACAGCTGTCTTGGGCGAATCAGCTTCAGGAAGGGCTACTGAGCCACTTCTGAAAAAGGAGAGAGAAAAAGAAAGAAAAATTGCAGAAGAGAGTGTTCTCCTCCTCACTTAGGAGCAGAAAGAGACAGAAACTTGAGCAGGCTCTGAGTACCCCCTAAGGCAAGGGTTGCTGTGTGAATCCAGCTACTAATGCATTAAAAGACACTAGACTTGTTAAAGTCCTGTTTTTTATTATTATTATCAAAGAGAAGATTTTTTTTAGATTATTTGCCTAATAAAAACCTAAGTGGCTCTATCAGTATGAATATAAGGGTCTAAAATTCTTCCAAAAATGTTTACTCTAAATTACTTCAGTAAAATGTTTATTTTCACTTCCTAGAATTGCTTTATTTACTATGGGCTCAAGTTTTGGCCCCGCAAAAAATCACTCATTCATGCTTTATAACAGTTTACAGAAGACCTTCTGCATGGTCTCCTTTCACTAGTGGTTTGCTGAAAATGTTTGTATTATCACTCCCCCTTCTGGTTCCTTGTTGTATGTTTTATTTTAGACACGCTATACAGAGATGTACTCTTAAAGAGTTTTGTTGGAATTTTACTTTGAGCTATTTTTAGTGCAACACAGACCTCTGTTTCTTCAAGCAAAGTCTAATTGATAAAAAAATCTTCCCTGCTGCTCTGTCACTCCTCAAGTACCAGTTTATAAACACTCCTTTAAAATACTGCTGGACATGCATGTGAAAACCTCATGCCCAGTTAATTTCAAAATTCTGTCTTTCTAAATCTGGACCCCCAATTCTATAGTTCTGGACTATCCTTTAGTGTGTTTTTTTAGATAATGGAGTTTACATGTCAAATGCTCTCATGTTTCATGGAGATATGTATAGCTCATTTATTTGCACAGTCATTACGTAGCTGCACGTCATACTGTGCATTTGTTATTCAAAGTGGCCTGTCACATTTCTAACCAGCTGATTCCATTTCTGTTTCTCAGTCTTTGAGCCTATCACCCAGGCTGTACTGCCTCTCTAAACTGTGGGCTTCTTTCTTCTCCCTCTCAGGTGACATCCAGATTGGAATGGTGGATAAAAAGGGCCAGTTGGAAGTAGAAGTTATCAGAGCCCGTGGCCTCACACAAAAACCTGGCTCTAAATCTACCCCAGGTAAGGAAAAAATAGACAATATATGAACAGAAAACAAGAATTTGAAATATGATGATGAGTTGGGGATTGGAGACTTTTTGAGCTCCTTGTTAGCTTTAACTAGGTTTGCATTTGTTTAGTTTGCTTTGCAACAAGGAACGTGTGCATGGATATATCCTTGCTCCCAATGTCCACTTCTTACCATCTTTCATCTGCTTTGCATGCCAGCTTTCAAGGAATGATTTTCAGCAACTCAACATCTGTTCTGGAAGGAACATTTGCAGGAGTATTTCTGCATATCTTAGCCAAGTCATATAATCTCAGAGGGGCTTGGTTGATACCAGGGAAGTCCTTTGTGTTTGTTCCACATTAAAATTAAGTGGAGAACAGTTGAAAGTGCTTTAAACAAACTGCTTAACAGACCCAGATGCCATGGTCTTCTGTATTCAACAGTGAGTGCCTCACAACAGCAGGTTATGCTAGTGCCAGTGTCAATAATTTGTATAATGAATTACTTAATATTGTATCATTTTATAAGGGCATATTTGGAAGTTCTGGTTATTTATAGAACTCTTTATTAGAAGAAATGTATAATCTTCACCACAACCACCATAGCAGCTGAAACAGTTGTTTCAGATAATGTTTTGCCAAAATGGTACTTTACAACCTCCTTAGGAGCTGAAGATGAAAGAGCAATTAATGTCTGTGTTGTCTCAGTGACTTAGTTTTAAATACTCCTTTCAATGAAACATCAAAGTCTTTTGTTTTGAAGTATCTCTAACCCCTAAATGTACATAGAGACTCCAGAGCAGCTATCAGTGACAGTTAATTCCTGGCAAAGGGAAGCTTTTTTAGAACGACAGACATGAAATAGAATTGTTGTTAATAACATCTTAGATCATTAAATTCAAAGTTTATAAAAATCAAATTGATTTCTTATGGGCTTTGTCATTTGTTTTATCAATACAATTATATTCAGATTGTGCAGTGAAGACAGCATGTGTCATTTTCTTTTCACTCAACTCCCTTTTAAGGCATTTGCCCTCCAGCTCAGATGAAAAATATAGAAGTTTTTAAGTCCAAACATAAAATTAATGATGTTCTGTTTGCAGCTCCATATGTCAAAGTGTATTTATTGGAAAATGGAGCATGTATAGCTAAGAAGAAGACAAGAATTGCACGGAAGACCCTTGATCCTTTGTACCAACAGACACTGGTTTTTGATGAAAGTCCACAGGGCAAAGTCCTTCAGGTCAGTTGCTTCTTAAGCCCATTTCGGGCTATCATTTGGAGAAGGTCTTGCATGTTTACTTAAGTTAAAGCAATATGTGTAAATCCATTCCAATTTGCTAAGCATTTTATTTTATAACCTGCAAACACATCCTTGGGGCTTATGATTGCAGACCTGTGAAATGTCTGGCTGAATTAAACATTTTTCTGTTGTTGACTCTCACTCCTGTCCTGCCATTAGGTTTTTCCTCAAGAGGGAACAGTCTTTCACTCTGAAGAATAACATTTCCCTGTCGTTAAACATAATAGCAGGGGTGAACAGAATACCATGGGTCTGGGGACAATGCTGAATCTGTATTTTATGTTTTTCCAGGTAATAGTTTGGGGAGACTATGGCCGAATGGACCACAAATGCTTCATGGGAGTTGCCCAAATCCTTCTGGAGGAACTGGATCTGTCCAGTGTGGTAATAGGCTGGTATAAATTATTTCCACCTTCATCGCTAGTGGATCCAACTTTGACTCCGCTGACACGCAGGGCTTCCCAGTCATCTCTGGAAAGTTCAACTGGGCCTCCCTGCATTAGATCATAGTAGCAGGTGCTGTCTAATAAAAACATCACCCAGGATAACGATTGGAACCAGATATTCACAAGATCAACAAACAAACGCTGTTGGAGAGAGACAATCACTTCTGTTTTTGCTTGTAGTAGTTACCCAGAAATATGTCTGTTTGTCAAGAGATGGCTTAAATTGACAGAACAAAGTTACATCACATATGGCCACTCTATTAGAGGCTATCACCGATGCTTATAATGATTTTTAAAAAGAAAATATTAAAAAAAAAAGAGAGAGACACCTTTAGATTCGACCTAAGTCAAAGATGAGCCAAAAACTGGAAGCTCTCACTCTGTTAACAATGTTGTATTTTCCACATTTTGACAGAGTCTTCGAGCAGTGTTACCTTCCTGGTGTTTCAGCAGTTTTTTTGTACATGTCACTTCCACTAGGTTTTTTGCCATGTGATTCTGCTAGTTTTGTAGAAGTCCTCACAACGCTGACAGAGACCCTTCCTTTCTTTTTCTAAACCAAACACAAAAGGGCTGAAGCATATCTCTGTAAGCATTGTTAAAGTGTTCAACAGCCACCGTTACAATTCCAGAAAGTTCAAGTAGTTTCTCAGTTCTGGTACTTCCAAGTTTCTCATGTGGGAACCCAAAACAAACGACCAATCCAAGTTATTTTCTTAAAAATAAATAACCATCACAGTGCCACTTTTTCTTTGTAAAAAAGCAGATATGTTTGCGTTATATATAATAACTTTTATGTTTATGATGTTTTGCATGGAAGAATTTTGAAGAATTCTGCAACTACTGCTGGGAACTGGTATAAAGCAGCTTTAGTCTTAATTTTGACATTGAATATGTTACTGGTAATGCAGTTTTCCTCCTAGAAATGGAGAGGAAATATTTACGTTTCTGTGTATAAATGTATATTTGACTTCCCAAATGTTGACCAGGAATGGATTGAGCATATGACACTTTCAGCTGTACCCAGGCTTCTCTGATGTGTGTCGCTTCAGATGCACCTGTCTGCCCTGGATAGAGCATGGTATGAGATGTTCAGTGTTTTCACTGGAAATTCCAGTTGAAATATTCTGCACTTACTAATGTTTTTATCAAATTTTAGTTTACATTTCTTTGAGATTGATGCAAGCACAAGGCTTGATTTTTTAACGCAAGATATCTTACTTTTTGGAGAAAAATAAGTCAAATTTCAATTTGCTTTTTATTCATTTGAGTTCTTCTTGGCCTTGAAATCCCCTTGTGATATTCTGTAAATGTGCAAAGACAACTGCAGATTCCTGCAGGTGCATTGATATGTTTTCCCTCCTTTTACAGGCCATTCAATTTTGTGATCACACAAATACAGCAGCATGACTTGGAACTGTTCAAAGCTGCATGCACGTTTTGTAAAAAGAGATGAAAAAGGTTATTTAATAATGTATGTTAGTTCCACATAGGCCAGCTTGTATGTTGCATGTACTTGTACAGTTTGCTCATAATTACTATACTGAAGTAAGAAATCTAAGCCATCCATTTTTCTTATAGACATTTTGCAGGTTTTAGCCAGGCTAGGTCTGTGAGTCTGGTGCTAAATGTCTATAGATGGACTTTATTTTTTACCCTATGAAAGACGTGATGTAGTACGGACCAAATTCCTTCTAATAACTATTTTGGTGTAGATTCCTACTGTGGGGCTGTAACACATGTAGAAACTGTGTACACACTAGGTTTTAATTCATAGACATACTGCCTGCACCAAGTGAACTATTTATTATTACTCAACACATGGGAATTATTCTGCCCATCTTTCCATAGGGCACAGATTCGTTACTGCTCGACCTGCTGAGCAGGAAGAACTCAAGCATTGGTGCACTACTACTAGATCCTGTTCTGTCTTAGTGGCCAAAAAAACAACTAGTTATAATTCGATAGTATCTTTCTATTTTGACCACTTGTCTTAACACTCCCCTGTGCTTTTAAATGAACTTCCAACTCATGTTATGTAAACATGTTTAATAAAATTTCCTTTTCATGTCCAGTGTAGTAGTTGTGCTCTCTGTATGTTCTGAGGTTCATTTGTGATTCTGCTCGCTGCAGGACTGTGTGAAATGTGTTAAGGAACAGTAAAATGATAAGTAACTTCTATGGTTCGTTTGATCGCTGTAATAGTGTATGTTGAAATCTGGAGCCACAAACTGAGGCCTGGTGAAAGTTGTGTTTGGTTGGCTTCCTTTTCATCAAGAAAGGAGCCAAATTGTGCTCTCATTCATTGGAGAAAGCAAATTGAAATGAAAAATGCAATTTAGCCAAATTACAATCTGGTGACATCACATCAGCTTACTGGAGTTGAGTGATGCTGCATCCCCTTGCATGAGGTCAGCGAGGCAGTTTGTGTTAGAGCCGAGCGCCAACTCTCCTCTTGATGTCTGCTGAGCCCTTCAGATGTGACAACTGATCTTTTGCAATTCTTTTTTAAACCCAGAAATACACCCTCATATCACAAGGCCATTATGGACTATGCTTTATAGAGATTTACCTGAGAGCAGAATTTGGCATCTCATTTTCTTAGAGTTGCAAAGACAATGTACTTTGTTTGATTTTTAGTTTTTCATGTCCCACAGATACCTGATCACAATTTTAAAACAACATAAAGACAATATTGCCTCACTTTGAACACTTCTGTTTATTACTTTATTTAACTGAATACATGGTTAAGCTACTGAAAAAAAAGATATTAAAAATTAAACATGGTAAATCTCTGAACAAAAGGCATGTTATATTTCTGCTTCTGTGTGGTGAGAGTGATCTGTTTAAATACAGAATTTGTCATATGGTTGCAAAAAGCCCTCCATTTTATAAACCTCATGGTTTGAATGTTGTGTCCAATACTAGGATTATCTTTTCCTTTCTGATCCTGAGCAATAAATAAAGTTTAGCATTTCTGATCCCCTACTAGAGCACAGGAAATACAGCAGCAAAGAAACATTCTGAACTGTATAATTTATGGTGTTTCTGATGAACAGAGATCACATACGCAAAGTCTGCAGGAACGAAGTCATAGACTGTGCTAGGACAGATAAGTTGTGTGTTGATCTCCTTTCCAGGCACTGCTGCCTTTTAAAAACTCATTGCTGAGTGCTGGAACTATAATACAGAGATAAATCAGCTTTTGGTTCCCTCCTGGTTTTCCCTTTGGAATGCAGTGCTGCCTTGCACGTCATATGTAGCGGAAGAGCAAAGATACTAACCTCATAATCCCAGTCATATAATCAGACAGTTATTTTCCTCATGATGAGTAATGTTCTGAATTTTGTACTGAAATGCAAATTGATTGTCCTTCTGTGGGCAGGTAAAAAGCTTCTGGCCTTGACCTTTGTGTTAGAGAGACACTGAAATCGCTGTGAGCATGTAGGACAAACCAGAGCTTCATTATCTCATTCCTTCATTATCCCCAGAGAAATGATACATGCACTTTTGTTGCCTGTTTTCACTAACAAATGGTAGTCCCAAAAATTGAATTCAGCCCAGGTATGCTATGCTATACATAAAATAGTAGTTCAGAGTGGATCTTCAGTGACTGTTCTGCTTACACCAAGATTTTACTTACAGCCTGTGACTTGTTCTCTATGAAGTTGGCTATTTCCTGTTCCCATGTAGTCAGTGCTCTACTGTCCACAGCCCATTTACCTCTAGAAAAAAAGAATTATGGACATAAAAATATTTTTTTGCCTTAATTGAAGAAAGTCATGGCAGGCAGCAATGTGGCTCTTTCTTTCAAGCCCCCATGTGCTCACCCCATGTTACCCTACTGTAATTCTGCAGACCCAGGAGAAAGCAATCAGCAAGAAAGCAGATTGTTATTGAAAGATGTGTTTTCTCATCTCAGGTAATGAGTATTCTGGCCATCTCGAGTGATTAAGAGCTCCACTAACATCTATCAAGAGTAGCAAGAGTCTCAATTAATACCTTACTCCCACAGAGGTATGTATTTTCTCAGTGTCTGCATGGATGGCAATGTATGCTGGTAGTTAAATACCAGGGTTATGAAGGAGGTTGTGAGTGGCAGGCATATCACTTAAATCCAATACTCTTCCAAGCCTGGTGATCCAGGTTTGTCCTACCTGAGGTGCCAGAGATGGGAGGGAAAGCTGCCTTCACTCCTTCTAGAGTCACACGGCTGCCGCTGATGTGGCTCCTGAATGCACAGCTTGGTGTTCAACAAAATAGCCATTGGTTAGGTACTTTCTAGTAGTTGGTGTGTTTTGAAGCTATAGTTGTGCATCAGGACATAAAACCTTAGATGTTCTGTCTTGTTGAGTCAAAGAGTCCAATGCTCAACACTAGTAGTAACTGAGGGAAAGGATAAAAAGCTGGCAGAATCTGTACATACAATAAAGCAATTTGGGTAAGGCAAATATTATAAAGCTGTATTTATGTCTCAGGTAGAACAAGAAGGCCATCTCAAGAGCTGAGTCTTTTGGAGATTTGAGCTGTGGCTGCTAGAAGTGAGTTACCCAAGGGTTTCACAGAATGTCCCCGGTGGCCTTTGAAAAAATTACCTTCAGAAGGTGAAGAGCAACAGTTTGTTAAAATAATGCTCCTTGGACAACTCAGAATTATTTCCTCTGATTGTCTCTAACATGTCTACAATTACAGAGCCCTACTCTAAAATGCAGTTACAAATCAGTAGTGGCCCACTTAGTAAAGGCACTGGTTTCATAATGAAAGACCCTGTGATATCACCATCTGCATAGACTTTATGTCTGCAACATTTCATTTAGTTGAAGATTTAAGAGTCTTTTTTCACATTTTTTTTTCTCATTCATATCAGAGGTGTGTAGGCTTCTGGGTGACTCGGAGAACCCAGGCATCCATCTCTACACCTGGATTTTCTGATGAAGGGGTGTAATTCCCCATTTCAGAGACATTGCAGAGATACAGGAAGAGCAGAGTGTAAATGTGGAAAAAGCAGTTGTTAGGTCCTCAGAGACTGAGATGCTATAAAATGATGCCATTTTCTTATAGTGGCTCCCAAAGTCTTTTTTACACTGACAAGTATCAGGAAGCAATATCTTCCATACTAAACCTTGTAATGACATTTTAGTTACAGACAAATAAATATTCTTGAGACACCAAGCAGGACACAGCCATCTCCTTCAGTTTATATCATCCCCTGTACAAAGTCTTTCATAGAAAATATATGTCTCCTGTCCCAGTCTCATTCTTTTCAGGAAGTACAGGAACACTATCACCTCTGCATTTCCAGTAACACCACTTTGACTATAGT